GGTGGCATCATGGGTCGGGCCGGAGCTGGGTGCTTGCCTGGAAAGAAAGCTGGGGTGGGCTGGGGTCCACTCCGCCGGGGTATCTCCCAGGGGCAGAGGGGACCGCGGTGCTGGCTGTAGGTCAGGCAGGAGGCCGCAGACAGATTGATGGACAAACTGGCCCTTGCCTGGCTCCCATACTGCAGAGTCAAGCGCACATCAGCTTTTGGAGGCTTTTCCCACCCTCTTCCCTTCACAAGGGGCCATGAGCTTTAACTCTTCTTTACGGTGATGTTCATCCCCCACACTGGAGGACCAGCTGCATCCACCCCTGCAATCCCACCCTCGGCTGGGGAGGGAGCATGCAATAAGGGGCCAGATCCTGTCCATGCTGCCCCGGCCAGAGGCCCTTCCTCTCGTTTGGTAGCAGGGACGTCCCCAGCACCCTTTCACGTGGGGAATGGTGGGATGAAGGCAAACCAGAGGAGGTGGCGTTGGTGGAGTGTCATCTCCCAAGCACTGTGCCAGCTGGGGCACCCTAACCTTTGCGGGCAATGTCATCGGTCGTCTGTGGAGCTGGTGGTCCCACAGCTTCAGGAGATGGTCTGGTCACTGCTGGGGGTACCGGCTGGGACCTGGCTTCGGGGTCCTTTGAAGTGCTGCACAGAGAATTGCGCAAGTCAGGCTTCAGTTGGGCATGGTGGTCCTGGCCATAAGGGTATGGCCCATGGGGTGGGATAAGGGGAGGACATGGGGAGAGCTGGGACAGCCAGAGCCCCCAGCTCGCACTGGACTTACGCCTCTCCTTCTGGGAGAGTGGGGGTGCTGGCCAGAGGTGGCTCAGAGGATGGCTCTTCAACCGGGGTGGTCTCACTAAGTCCACCATTTGCAGGTGGCATGAACATGCCCGAGACGTTGAAATCTATCTCTGAGTTGAGAGAAAGGAGGGGACCCTGCGAGGAAGTGCTTGCCACCCAGAGCTTCCCCCAGTGATCCCACATTGGGGAAGCGGAGCAGCCCCCCGCTTCGCTCCTCCTGGGGATGGAGAAATGTCCCTTTCCCTTCCTCCACCCTTCACCCTGGGCTGCAGCCCCCTGAGCAAGACCCTGGCCCTACCTCCCGGGAAGAGGGTGTCCGCATTCTGGATGAGAGCTTCCACCACACCCACCACCTGGATGGAGGTGACCGAGGCCAAGTCCAGTTGCACGGGGTCTCTGAAGAGACAGGGGTGGGGGAGGTATCACAAAAGGCTTTGGGGGCATTAACCCTTTTGGTGTTCATTCCTGAGGGAGCAGAGCCCAAAGGGAAGACAGTCCAGCCAAGGGGGGTCAGAGGGTGGGAGATCGGCCTTGTTCCCTGTCCTGGAAACCCGAGTTTGGTGTTGGAGACCAACGGTGTTGGAGGCCATCCATGTCACAAGTGCTCCAGGTCTCAGCCTGTTCCTCTGCTACTTTGCAGAGTGGTTAAGCGGACACATGCTTGGCGAGGGGACACGCCACTCAGGGAGTGCATGGATGAGGGATGGGATTTGAGGATGGAAGAGGTGCAGGTGCTTTAGACCAGCCTGAAGGCTGCTAGATCAGCCTTTCCCATGGCGTTTGTGCTCAGGGCACCCCAGCCAGGGATGGCAAGCTGCCTCCCACCCCTCCGCGCCAGGCCTTACCCTGTGCTCTGCTGCAACCACAGCAGGTTGGGGCCCAGCACAATGGCAATGTTGCTGGGGGTCATTTTATTCAACTCCTGGTGTTCGGCCAGCTTGGCTAAAAACTTGATCAGATACCTGTGGGGTAAAAGGAGGGCGAGGGGGCATAAGTACGGATTTGGATGGGGAACGGCTGCCCCCAGTGACTGCTTGAGGCCAAAGAAGCCCCATCCCTGAAAAACACCTCAGATTGTTGTAGCTTTCCCGGGGCAGGCGGCTGCAGGTGTCTTGCAGGCTCTGTACGCGGCTGTCAACATCCTTTAAGCTGCGAAAGAGAAGAGGGAGGAGCGGAGACCTCAGCCCGCTCCCTATGGCAGAGAGGGACACGGCATGCAAGGGAGGAAGGCCAGTGTCAGCCTCCCCGTGCAGGGATGGACATGCCCTGCTGCTGCCTTTACCAGGCAGCTGAGCCAGGCATTGACAAAGTTGCACCCCAAAGGCTCAAAGGGATTCAATATGATATGAATACAACTTGTGGGTGGGCCTGGGGGGTGAGCACTGCCTTGCCAGAAACAACAACCATATTTTACCATGACTACAGGGGTCAATGGCACTGAGCTGATCCCTTCAGAAAGGTGCTCTCTCCCTCCCCCCAGGCTTTTTACTGTGCCTCCTCTGCCACTCCTTCCATCCTGAAAGCAAGAGGCTAAAGATGAGATGGGGCTCACACCACTGAGGTGAAGCTCTTGTTAAAATCAAAAAGGGTGCAGCCTTCCCTCACCCTGCCGTGTTTTTTTATTGCTATGCTCCGAGATTTTGGGCCATTTGGATTTCTGCCGAGCATGGAACAGACCAGGCGCTGTGTTCTTATCTCCCCATGTGGCAAACAAGGCCAAGCAGCCCTGGTCTGAGTGCTGGGAGGGATGGAGGGAGGGTGGTGGGGGCGCTTTTTGAACCCCACTGGGCTTTTCTGCCCCAACGCCCAGACCCACCTGGCCACTTTGACCCATTCGTTGTAGAGCTCGAAGGTCATCAAAGGCTGGGGCAGCTCCCGTAGGTAGGATTTCAGAGCACCTGGGAAGGGAGAGGGAGCAGTGGGGGTGATGGTGGTTGGGGGATGGCAGGGACTGCCCAACTGTGTCCCTCCATCCCGCCTCACTGGCACCCACCAGC